AATTTGACTGATGATGGAGGCAAGGCCAACGGCTTCATGTCAACGCCAAATACAGCGATCACCTGAACTGAAAGAAGATCTTAAATCACAGCCTACATGATGTTTTCAGTTTTTTAAAGACCCTGGTTGTTGGCCCAGCCGGGGTTTGAACCCACGATCTCTCCCAGCTGAGCTAACCGGGCGACAATTAAGAAGTTACACTAGGAAAAATGATCAATTTTACAGCTGCAAGGGTAAATTTCAATCATAACATGTAAATATCATATGAATCACCTAAATATAACTGAGAATGAAATGCATAAAAAAGTACAAAAAGCTAATTTCATACGCACAGCAAAGAGAGGCAATTAGTAGTTGCCTGATCGATATTGTTACCTTGGTAACGGCCTGATGCAGTTGAAACAAGCTGTTCACGATGGCAGCATTCTTCTGCTGCGCAGGACTTGCTTGATCATATAACTGAGTCGCTTCCACACTGGTAGCAAGCTGGTAAAGGAAATTGAGATATGTTCTAGCTACAGTCTCTCTACAGAGATTCAATCGTATTGGTATGAACATTAACGCTCGGATAAGAAAAAGTGTCAGGAAATCTATAGAAAACCATCGAGGCTAAAAAAAAGGAAAACTAGCTGGACTTTGTGTTGCTGGTGTTATCAGACTGTTAAATAACTAACAAAGCATTAAACATAACCATTGTTTTATTCTATTTTATTTTTTTATTTTTTAACCTCTACTAATTACTCAATGAAGCTGTGTTCTATCCATTACCACACATTCAGAAATATTAAGTGACTTGAGCAGTTCATTAATATAGATGAAAGACATTGATTATAACCGAAGACTATACATGAACAATTCGCTATAAAAAAGGCTCTATTATACGCAATTCATGGCCCTTTTGGGGACAATTAAGGAGTTCACAGCCGCCCTCTAATTTAAAAGTATTTCATTATTTTCATCAGAAACAAAGTTAGCAGAGGTAACCTCACACGTCGCCAGTAGCTATCAGTTCCTTTGCCCTCTTTTTTCTCGCCGAAAATGCGCTAAGACTGTACAAAGCCTGTACCGCCAACACCGCAGACGATTTAAGGAAACAGGAGATGGAAATAAGACGAAACACAAAAACTCTTCTAGTGCGACTGGTTACGCTGACCGTTTATCTCACATCGGGTGCAGCCATATTCTCGGTGATCGAACATGACGGTTCTTCAAGCGACCGACATTTCAGCGAGAAAATAGACCAGATAAGAGAGAACATGACACTGAGATTTAACGAGACACTGGACGTTATTAACCAGTACATCGAGGAGCTGCGACTGCTTTTTGAAGAAGCTCACAGGTGCAAGTATAGTCACAATGACTGGAGTTATTATCAGTCGCTGTATTTCGTTGGCAGTGTGACCACCACCATTGGTAAGATAGCTTTAGCCCTTAAGCCATGTTAAGCCCCGATCTCGACATGCAAAATCTCCAGACTGGTTTCCATACATTTCCCTAAAGAATTAGTCAAGAGAACACCAAAAGAAGATCGAAGCATGCATTTCCCTTCAGTGATCATTATATTTAATCTCATAACCTTTCTCTTGATGATGTATTGACGTTGTAAGGGGAAAATTGATGTAAGTCACTCTCACGATTTGAGAGTCAAAGATTTTGAGGTAACTTCCAATTACACAAATTAAGGGAGCTCTCTACGCCATACATCCTTGGAACCAGGGGTCAATACAATAGAACCATTACGTGCGATTACGTGCGTAATTGACAAGTGTAGCTATTATTATTTATTATCTGAAAACAACAGCTATAAAAGAGTAAATTGCACGTTTAAAAGTTGTATTGAATTTATCCTAGCTCTAATTGCTATACCTAACGAAGAGTTAAGCTATCACAGAATTGAGCATAACTGGGTAGGCTGAAATTCAGAGGACTAAATTACAGCCCCTGACATCAGTCACAGCGAGGAGCTTTGAGTGGACCTTCAAATTCACTGCAGGAGGCCAGATGGAAAGAAAAAAGTTCACTGATTCGCTCCATGCAAGGGAATACGGATTCTGGAATCCGGAAAATTTTTCTTGTGGTTTCCGGAATCCTGGGCTTTGGAATACGGGGTACAGCTCAAGGAATCCGGAATGCTACTGACGATTGGAATCCAGAATCCACGTTATACTAACCAATACTAAAATCCAGTACCTGGAATCCGGAATACAGCTCAAGGAATCCGGAATCCAGTACCTTGAATCCGGAATCTATGGCGTGGAATTCAGAATCCAAGGCTGTCATGGATTCTCTTACATGGGACGACCTGATAGTTTATTTGTATAATCGTATCATCCACTGGACCTAACACCCCCATGCAATGACTGCCTCGCGACAAATGCTAAGTTTTTAATAAACTCTTTACCTGTTTCTTTACAGGCTATGGACATCTTGCCCCTAAAACACAGGGTGGCCGCTTGTTTTTAATATTCTTCGCCCTGTTTGGTATTCCTCTGAATTTATTAACTCTTCAGTCACTTGGTGAACACATCAACTTCGGAATCCATTTATTGATCAAATACTTTGAGAAAGCCGCTCTACAGCGCGACGCACCGACACATGAACACATCAAATGCTTCACTATAGACGTGTTGCTTATTGCTCTATGGCTGCCATTGGGAGGTATCATGTATTACTACTCAGAGAGAGAATTCGGCTGGACGTTTCTAGATTGTGTCTATTACTGCTTTGTTGCCTTGAGTACGATCGGCTTCGGAGATCTGGTGCCGAATGAAGGCAAGGAGCCAGACTCGTCATACGAACGAGGCATGTGGATCGTGCGCCTCATGTACTTGGGCTTAGGCCTCTCGCTTCTTTCGAGTGTCTTCACTTCTGTCTGTAGTGCGGTGAAGGAAATTCGAAGTCTGATGCCGTGTAAACGAGGTAAGTAAATAAGTTATCCAAGCTACTGTTACTTTTGGTTCTGTAAAACATGAAAGCTAGGCTAAAACTAAACTACAACTAGCAGCACTGACTAATTGGCAAGGTGCTAAGATTCTGCTGGATCGTCATATTATTTCATGAGCAATTGAGATTCCACTTTGGTTGCCAAGTATAAAATAATGCACCATGTAATCTGTAGTTAGAGATCACAGATGACGTCGAAAACGTTGTAACAAGAGAGACAAGTCCAACGAGCCGCAGGCGAGTTGGTCAGCGGAAACACCGTAGAATGCTGAGCAGCAAAGCAAGACTAACAGAAAGAACACGTTTACCGCAAAAATTACATTTCCGCGTCAACCAAATCGTTTTTCGTCTCGAACTCTTCTCCTGTTTCTTCTTATTATTATTCTAAGCCTTGTCCTTTTTTCTTTCTTATTTTTGGGGGCCTTGACTTACTTATCCATGAAGTACTCCGATAGAATATCTACTAGCCAATTCTACGATTCCAATATTGTGACTATAATCCTTCCTAACTTGTCTTTCTCTTTAGATAGAAGGTGTAGGCGTCCCACATACATTTGAATCTGACCTGAAATCCTTCTTCTCCAGGTGATGGGCTCGTAATATTCCTCACTCTTATTTAATAATTGCATGCAGCTAGTATTGATTGATAACTAATTATTATCTTTCCTTACAATTTGGTTGCACTATACCTTAATCGCGACTCATTTACTGTCTACGTACACTTCTAAAACAATCTTAAACAAAACTGTATTTTCGGCAGGGGTTTTCATAGACACTCGTGTCTTTGAAATAAGGTACTACCTAAATTTGTTACAATTTTTCACAGCGGTATGTCTATTGGTGTTTGTGGTATCTGTCATACTGAAATAGTTATCTTTTTATGAACCATAACAGCGCTAAAATATAAAACGGCGGCCGAGATGACCCTGATAAAATTAATAAGGGCGGCTGATCTACAGTCGCACGTGATAAATCGAAAATTTCTGCCTTTGTGCCACAGGAACACCAGATTAGGATGCGTTCTGACGAACGCGACTGCGCAATATCTTTCTCCATCCAAGTGTATAAACCTTACTTGACTCGCACTATTACTACTAATTGCTACTGTCACAGTTAAAAGAGCAAATATGCAGATGGCTGGACTGCCCTTTTAAGGGTGTGGCATCCTATGACACGAGACTATCAACACCCTTTGAAACCACTCGCCTATAGACAGTAAAGAGATTTAACCCTTTTACCCTCAGAGTGCATTGTGAAGTATTATAAAGTGGTTGTAACTTTTGCGTCTATGAATGAAATCTTATGGTGTTACCATTCAAATAAATCCTCGTCACTCATATTTTCACGTGCCACTATTCATTTAGCAGCATTTTGCAAAATGAGATTGGCAATTTTGCCGAGTTTTGACTTTAACCGTTTTCCTGGTTTTCATGTAACTGATAGGTGGCCAGCTGGGTCAATTTTCAATCGCTGACGTAACTAACTTATCAACAGGTTCTATGTACGAGCTTCACAGCACAGATCAAAGAGAGCGAACTCCAAAACCAGTGACACCTCTAGGGGAGATACTTAAGTCATCCAAGCGTTATTCGTCTACTGCGTTAGGACAGAAAGACTGTTTAGCTGAACCAAAACTTAAGAGGCAGGCAAAGCCGCAAGAGGTGGACTGCAATGGGGTGTATTCTAATTCTACAATTGACGCAAATGTACAAGAGCTAGAGTGTCCGGATTACGTGGACGCAGAAAATTTAAATGCAGTGGAGGAGAGAAAAAAGGCAGGTTTAGGAAAAGTGAAGAACGGAAATGACATTCTCCAGGAAGGTCTCGAAGATTCAGAAGAAACCACTGAGTGAGAAAGGAAAGCAATGGAAATAGGAAACGGGATTAGAGAACAGAAAAACAGGCTTACAAGTATGATCAGAGTTTGTTTGGCTGGTAACAGCAGAAAACCTGGGTTTTAAAAAGCGTAAGGATGAGGGAATTTGAAACGCTAGAGTTTTGCGATTCATTGCCAAACACAAGCGACTACAAAATATCAATGCTAAAGAAGAGACTGAGGATTAAACGGGAATGTACAGGCAGAAACGGCGGAATAAACGAACCTACATTGAAAAATGTCATCCTTGGAACTAAATAATATCAAGGAGGAAAACGGTAAAGGATACAGTACAAGTGTACTAAATATAGATTGGAACATGTGATAGAAGAGTTTTCTGCTGCTTTAAAATTATCACGACCAGATTTGTGCGAGGAAGCCAACGATAATAATTGAAACCCGTATAAAACATTGGTATAACAAGATCATGAAATTCTTAAGAAACAAAAAAGCTTGGATCGGTTATTACAACAAAGTTTAAACTATGTTAAACATAACCATGTTCAAAGCAATTTTCAACATTGTCTGCTGTTAACAGTGTCACGAAAGCTTGCGGTCCAGGCTAGAAATATTTATCAACTGAACATACAAATAGATTTGGAGGCCCACTGAGTACCTAAACAGGGGTCTACATGTAAGTTGGCCTTCGTTTAAATAAATGGCTATGGGTAAAGGTTGCTGAAACCAAATATATATTTTTAAAAATATTTAAAAGTAATTTTCTGTTGACCCTTAAGCGTTCAACTTACTAGAAATAACAAGAATTACAATTGCAAGACTAGCACTGTCATAAAAGAAAAACTAAAGAAAAAAATAACAAATGGTAACTAAACCATTAATCTCCCTCCACAGCCCCCTTCAATGCATACTTGACTGGTCCCAATGTTAATCATAATAAGGCGTCTTACCAGTTGTTCACATTTGGCCGAGTAGAGCTGGACAGTTTTCGCCACGTTTCTCGCCACAGTTATTGTCAGACCAGCATCTACACTGGCTACGCTCAGCTCACTAAAAAGGGCACAAGACAGAATGCATATACAAGTAGGTCATACTAGCAGTCATACTACCGTGTGTAAACAAGAAGTACACTTTAAAAAACGTTTGAAAACCTTTAAGCCTCTTGGTTCTGCCAACGGTGATGGCGCTGGAGAAGGAAAAAACTCGCGGCAAAGACGAAATTTGCAAGCGCGGAAGCGGCGAGTTTCTTGCAAAACCTGTGCATTTCCAGCTTTCTGGAGTAAAAATTAGAGGGTTTGTACAGAACACAGACATCACATTTATTCTGTAAAAACACACGAATACCCTATTTAAACTGGGGTAATTTCCAAAGAAATTAGGCGGCGAGTTCACTTGAATTCGCCAGCCACCGGCTCTTATTGAAAACCCTGCCGGAGGGAAAATGGAAGGGGGAAAAGCTCCCAAGTCCCTCACCACATTCTCCGGGGAGCTTGTTTACTGGCTATCCGAATCCAAACGTCCTTCTCCACCCAGACCAACCTCTAAAGGAACAGGGGTTCTGATCTCCCACCCCTCAATTAACGGGGACATCCGCTCACGTGAAACTTACTACAATTTGGGCTAGAGGAGCCACAGTGAAATCGGGTCACCAGAAACAAAAGCCTCCGAAAGTGGAAGCAAAAGCTTGTCATTAAATCTTAAGCTATGATGTTGAAACGGTATGTTTCTCGGTGGATTTAAATTTTGTTTACGACTTAACTTTACCTGCCAATTGTCTTTGCGATGCTGGTCAGTTCTTCCTTTGACGGTGGGTTGCGCGCTCCAGACGGGAACACGAGGTTAATAGGATCAAATAATCTGGACAGAGACCTGGATAGGTAGGCAGTCTCAAATGGGGCAAGGCTTTTCTTCAGAGAGCTGCGACTGCTTTTTGAAGAAGCTCACAGGTGCAAGTATAGTCACAATGACTGGAGTTATTATCAGTCGCTGTATTTCGTTGGCAGTGTGACCACCACCATTGGTAAGATAGCTTTAGCCCTTAAGCCATGTTAAGCCCCGATCTCGACATGCAAAATCTCCAGACTGGTTTCCATACATTTCCCTAAAGAATTAGTCAAGAGAACACCAAAAGAAGATCGAAGCATGCATTTCCCTTCAGTGATCATTATATTTAATCTCATAACCTTTCTCTTGATGATGTATTGACGTTGTAAGGGGAAAATTGATGTAAGTCACTCTCACGATTTGAGAGTCAAAGATTTTGAGGTAACTTCCAATTACACAAATTAAGGGAGCTCTCTACGCCATACATCCTTGGAACCAGGGGTCAATACAATAGAACCATTACGTGCGATTACGTGCGTAATTGACAAGTGTAGCTATTATTATTTATTATCTGAAAACAACAGCTATAAAAGAGTAAATTGCACGTTTAAAAGTTGTATTGAATTTATCCTAGCTCTAATTGCTATACCTAACGAAGAGTTAAGCTATCACAGAATTGAGCATAACTGGGTAGGCTGAAATTCAGAGGACTAAATTACAGCCCCTGACATCAGTCACAGCGAGGAGCTTTGAGTGGACCTTCAAATTCACTGCAGGAGGCCAGATGGAAAGAAAAAAGTTCACTGATTCGCTCCATGCAAGGGAATACGGATTCTGGAATCCGGAAAATTTTTCTTGTGGTTTCCGGAATCCTGGGCTTTGGAATACGGGGTACAGCTCAAGGAATCCGGAATGCTACTGACGATTGGAATCCAGAATCCACGTTATACTAACCAATACTAAAATCCAGTACCTGGAATCCGGAATACAGCTCAAGGAATCCGGAATCCAGTACCTTGAATCCGGAATCTATGGCGTGGAATTCAGAATCCAAGGCTGTCATGGATTCTCTTACATGGGACGACCTGATAGTTTATTTGTATAATCGTATCATCCACTGGACCTAACACCCCCATGCAATGACTGCCTCGCGACAAATGCTAAGTTTTTAATAAACTCTTTACCTGTTTCTTTACAGGCTATGGACATCTTGCCCCTAAAACACAGGGTGGCCGCTTGTTTTTAATATTCTTCGCCCTGTTTGGTATTCCTCTGAATTTATTAACTCTTCAGTCACTTGGTGAACACATCAACTTCGGAATCCATTTATTGATCAAATACTTTGAGAAAGCCGCTCTACAGCGCGACGCACCGACACATGAACACATCAAATGCTTCACTATAGACGTGTTGCTTATTGCTCTATGGCTGCCATTGGGAGGTATCATGTATTACTACTCAGAGAGAGAATTCGGCTGGACGTTTCTAGATTGTGTCTATTACTGCTTTGTTGCCTTGAGTACGATCGGCTTCGGAGATCTGGTGCCGAATGAAGGCAAGGAGCCAGACTCGTCATACGAACGAGGCATGTGGATCGTGCGCCTCATGTACTTGGGCTTAGGCCTCTCGCTTCTTTCGAGTGTCTTCACTTCTGTCTGTAGTGCGGTGAAGGAAATTCGAAGTCTGATGCCGTGTAAACGAGGTAAGTAAATAAGTTATCCAAGCTACTGTTACTTTTGGTTCTGTAAAACATGAAAGCTAGGCTAAAACTAAACTACAACTAGCAGCACTGACTAATTGGCAAGGTGCTAAGATTCTGCTGGATCGTCATATTATTTCATGAGCAATTGAGATTCCACTTTGGTTGCCAAGTATAAAATAATGCACCATGTAATCTGTAGTTAGAGATCACAGATGACGTCGAAAACGTTGTAACAAGAGAGACAAGTCCAACGAGCCGCAGGCGAGTTGGTCAGCGGAAACACCGTAGAATGCTGAGCAGCAAAGCAAGACTAACAGAAAGAACACGTTTACCGCAAAAATTACATTTCCGCGTCAACCAAATCGTTTTTCGTCTCGAACTCTTCTCCTGTTTCTTCTTATTATTATTCTAAGCCTTGTCCTTTTTTCTTTCTTATTTTTGGGGGCCTTGACTTACTTATCCATGAAGTACTCCGATAGAATATCTACTAGCCAATTCTACGATTCCAATATTGTGACTATAATCCTTCCTAACTTGTCTTTCTCTTTAGATAGAAGGTGTAGGCGTCCCACATACATTTGAATCTGACCTGAAATCCTTCTTCTCCAGGTGATGGGCTCGTAATATTCCTCACTCTTATTTAATAATTGCATGCAGCTAGTATTGATTGATAACTAATTATTATCTTTCCTTACAATTTGGTTGCACTATACCTTAATCGCGACTCATTTACTGTCTACGTACACTTCTAAAACAATCTTAAACAAAACTGTATTTTCGGCAGGGGTTTTCATAGACACTCGTGTCTTTGAAATAAGGTACTACCTAAATTTGTTACAATTTTTCACAGCGGTATGTCTATTGGTGTTTGTGGTATCTGTCATACTGAAATAGTTATCTTTTTATGAACCATAACAGCGCTAAAATATAAAACGGCGGCCGAGATGACCCTGATAAAATTAATAAGGGCGGCTGATCTACAGTCGCACGTGATAAATCGAAAATTTCTGCCTTTGTGCCACAGGAACACCAGATTAGGATGCGTTCTGACGAACGCGACTGCGCAATATCTTTCTCCATCCAAGTGTATAAACCTTACTTGACTCGCACTATTACTACTAATTGCTACTGTCACAGTTAAAAGAGCAAATATGCAGATGGCTGGACTGCCCTTTTAAGGGTGTGGCATCCTATGACACGAGACTATCAACACCCTTTGAAACCACTCGCCTATAGACAGTAAAGAGATTTAACCCTTTTACCCTCAGAGTGCATTGTGAAGTATTATAAAGTGGTTGTAACTTTTGCGTCTATGAATGAAATCTTATGGTGTTACCATTCAAATAAATCCTCGTCACTCATATTTTCACGTGCCACTATTCATTTAGCAGCATTTTGCAAAATGAGATTGGCAATTTTGCCGAGTTTTGACTTTAACCGTTTTCCTGGTTTTCATGTAACTGATAGGTGGCCAGCTGGGTCAATTTTCAATCGCTGACGTAACTAACTTATCAACAGGTTCTATGTACGAGCTTCACAGCACAGATCAAAGAGAGCGAACTCCAAAACCAGTGACACCTCTAGGGGAGATACTTAAGTCATCCAAGCGTTATTCGTCTACTGCGTTAGGACAGAAAGACTGTTTAGCTGAACCAAAACTTAAGAGGCAGGTAAAGCTGCAAGAGGTGGACTGCAATGGAGCGTATTCTAATTCTACAATTGACGCAAACGTACAAGAGCTGGAGTGTCCAGGTTACGTGGACGCGGAAAATTTAAAGGCAGTGGAGGAGAGGGAAAACGCAGGTTTAGGAAAAGTGAAGTACGGAGATGACATTCTTCAGGAAGGTCTCGCAGATTCAGAAGAGACGACGGAATGAGATAGGAAAGTAATGGAAATAGGAGACAGGATTAGGGAACAGAAAGACAAGTTTACAAGTATGATCAGAGTTAGTTTCGCTGGTAACAGCAGAAAAACTGCGGGTTTTAAAAAGGGTAAGGATGAGGGAATTTGAAAGGCTAGTGTTTTGCGATTCATTACCAAACACAAGCGACTACAAATATCAGTGTTAAAGAAGAGACTGAGGATTATACGGGAATGTACAAGGAGAAACGGCGGAATAAACGAACCTACAAAAATGTCACCCTTGGAACTAAATAATATCAAGGAGGAAAACCGTAAAGGATACAGTACAAGTGTACGAAATATAGATTGGAACATATGGTAGAAGAGTTTGCTGCTGCTTTAAAATTATCACGACCAGATTTGTGCGAGGAAGCCAACGATAATAATTGAAACCCGAATAAAACATAGGTATAAGAAGATCATGAAATTCTTAAGAAACAAAAAAAGCTTGGATCGGTTATTTCAACAAAGTTTAAACTATATTAAACAACAATGTTCAAAGCAATTTTCAACATTGTCTGCTGTTAACAGTGTCAAGAAGGCTTGCGGTCCAGGCTAGAAATATTTATCAACTGAACATTCAAATAGATTTGGAGGCCCACTGGGTACCTAAAGAGGAGTCTACATGTAAGCTGGCCTTCATTTAAATAAATGGCTATGGGTAAGGGTTGCTGAAACCAAATATATATTTTTAAAAATATTTAAAAGTAATTTTCCGTTGAGCCTTAAGCATTTAACTCACTAGAAATAAGAATTACATTTGCAAGACTAGCACTGACTGTCATAAAAGACAAATTAAAGAAAAAAACTAACAAACGGTAACTAAACCATTAATCTCCCCCCTCCCTCCACAGCCCCCTTCAATTCATACTTGACTGGTCCAAATGTTAATCAGAACATGCGGTCTTACCAGTTGTTCGCACTTGGCCGAGTAGAGCTGGACAGTTTTCGCCACGTTTCTCGCCACAGTTATCGTCAGACCAGCATCTACACTGGCTACGCTCAGCTCACTAAAAAGGGCACAAGACAGAATGCATATACAAGTATGTCATACTAGCAGTCATACGACCGTGTGTAAACAGGAAGTACACTTTAAAAAACGTTTGAAAGCCTTTAGGCCTCTTGGTTCTGCAAACGGTGATGGCGCTGGAGAAGGGAAAAACTCGCGGCAAAGAGGAAATTTGCAAGCGCGGAAGCGGCGAGTTTCTGGAAAAATTTTGAAATCTGGGCCTCTAAGAGTGAATTTCCAGCTTTCTGAAGCAAAAATTAGAGGGTTTGTACAGAACACAGACATCACATTTATTCGGTGACAGCACACGAATACCCTATTTAAACTGGGGTAATTTCGAAAGAAAATTAGTCGGCGAGTTCACGTGAATTCGCCGGGTACCGGCTCTTATTGAAAACCCTGCTGGACGGGAAATGGAAGGGGGAAAAGCTCCCACGTCCCCCACCACGTTCTTCGGGGAGCTTGTTTACTGGCTATCCGGCTCCAAAGGTCCTCTCCCACCCCGACCAACCTCTAAAGAAACAGGGGTTCTGATCTCCCGCCCCTCAATTAACGGGGACATCCGCTCATGTGAAACTTACTACAATTTGGGCTAGAGGGGCCACAACGAAATGAGGTCACCAGAAACAAAAGCCTCCGAAAGTGGAAGCAAAAGTTTGTCATTAAATCTCAAGCTATGATCTTGAAAAAGAATGTTTCTCTGTGGATCTAAAATTTTGTTTGCAACTTAACTTTACCTGCCTATTGTCTTTGCAATGCTGGTCAGTTCTTCCTTTGACGGTGGGTTGCGCGCTCCAGACGGGAACACGAGGTTAATAGGATCAAATAATCTGGACAGAGACCTGGATAGGTAGGCAGTCTCAAATGGGGCAAGGCTTTTCTTCAGGGCTTGTTCAGGACTGAGGTAGAAATACCAAAAAGTAAC